AGCAGTGACAGGGACATCCCCAGGGACAGGGTTTGCCCTGGGACGCTCGCGGCAGCGGGAATGTTTGTAGCTTTCCTGGGATAACCAGCAGCTCCCACTGCCCCAGGGATCCCGACGCGCCCGCGACAGGAGGAGGCAGCACAAAGTCCCCGTGCAGTTGGGATCCCTCTCCCGGCCTCCCTCGGGAGGATCCCGAAGCAAAGCAGCGGGTGCCGGGCACCCAAAGCTCCACGGGAGCCCTCCCGCTGCTCCAGGCGCTCCGTCATGGGAATGTCCCACCCTGCACGCTGGATTTGCAGGAACAAGCCCTGGGCAGTAAAAACAAGGAGGCTGAGCCACCTCCGGCCCTTTAGCAACACCCTTTGATGGTTTTCTGGGATCCTCATCAGCTTCCAAAGTTCCTTTTGGGATAGAAACAACCGCTGTGTTTCCCCAGGTGGCACCTGGTGCAGATCCTGCTATTGCAGGGGCCCAAAGCAGCATCTGCCCCTCCTGCAGGAGGAGAAACAGCAAAAAAGGGGGCCCCTTCCTTAGGGCCAAACCTGACTCTGTGCAAGGCTGGCCCGGAATTCCCACCGCGAGGAGCCGGGCACCGGCTCCGGCCTGAGCCGCGTCAATCCGGAGAGGCAGCTCCGAGCATTACAGCATGGAAATTCGGATGCTTCTTGGCTTCCCAGACAAGAGACATGGGTGTATAAAAAGAGCCAGACAGAAATATCTGTCATGGAAACAGCCTTTCTAATCAAACAGTGTCTTAACGGAGCGCTTTAGTTTCCAGGAATAGAGCAGCTCCGAGGGAAGGGGATGCGTTGAGACAGCCCTCTGCAAACACACGGAGCAAAATCATCTGGAGGAGCTAATTGCAAAACCATAAACGCTCCAAAACCCCCACGGATCTTTCCTGCAGGCTGCATTACAGGAACCTGTGATCTCCACATGACATTTCGGGGGTAATTCTTTCGGAGCCTGATCTACCAGCGAGCCAGCCTGAAAGGGAGGGCAGCAACATGCAGAGCCCAACGTTCCTGGGACCACGAACAGCAGAATAAACAGGAGGCTTCAGAAAAGGCCAGGCTGTCGTGGCTCTGGTTTGAGGAGAGCTCAGAGGCTGCACAAACTGCTCTGCAGGAGGGTTTTGCTTTCAGGTCCTGACGGGCTCCGCTGGCAGCGTTCGGAGGTGAGGGGCCAAGAAGAGCTCAACACCAGGGCCAGCAGCAGGAGGGAAGTTGAGGATCTCTGGAGCTAAAAATCCTGCCCATTTCCAGCGCTGAGCCCGGCCAGGCATCCCAAGCACGGAGCAGTGCTGCCCTCTACCCTCCCGGCTCAAGCGGATCCAGGAAAAAGATCCAGCAAAAGAGCCCAATCCTTGGCAGAGGGAACAGGGAGCTCCCAGGCCTAAAGTGAGAACTCCAGGCACTGCCCTGATCCTTGGGACACCGGAGCGTTTGGGGACAAGGGACAAGCGTGGGGCACAGAGGAGGAGGGGATGCCGAGCTGCACCTACCAACTTGTTCCTGAGTTACTGTCACTGTCGGGAGAGATGAGATTTTCTCTTTGTCAGCTGGAGGCGGTCCAGTGTTTTCCAACTGTCCCAAGAGCTGGAAAGAACAAAAAAGAAAGGCACGCTGTGGTTGGG